TTCTGGAAAGCATTTGAAGCCTTATTCCAAACAGAATTAGAAGCAAACACAGTAATAGCTAAGATTTATGATCCGTTTATATGGTTTTAATTTTGGCCACAGACCAGATTTGAGCTATTACAAAGAGAATACTTAATGTATTCGTGATACATGGTAATTTTCATATTTCCTTTTTCTCTAACATTCGTTCTTAAACAGAAATGTGTTTGCTAGAGAAGAAATTAAATTTCTTTGGTTACAATTACACTTCTATTAACAGAAAGGGTGCAGCATGTTCCCACAACTCACACAGTTGTCAAACACTTTATTACCGCCCCAAGTTGTCACACTTCTATAGGGAAGCCTAAAGAGTATTTGAGTGAAGGAGAAAAAATTACAGAATGAAAGTTATCAGTTGTGCCAGAAAACATAAAATGACTCTTTGTAGGGATTAACATTCTTCCAAAACATACCATAGATGGGCAAACACAGCCCGTGCCCACCAGAGCTTTGACAGTGTGGTTAAGAGAAATGAGACAGCAAAGAGGCAGACAAGCCCAGCCAATGGCTTTTATGGCTACAGTCGGCAGCCATCTTGAAAAATCAGCAGAGGTAAATGGCTCTACCCCTTGAAAAGTACCTGGTCTACTACTAAAACACATTTTACTTATTTGAATGGCTTGAAAAGTCATCATTACCTTAAAGTCATAGGATTTTAAAACAGGAAAGGACCTCTGCCTAGCAAAAGGCCATATATGTATGTGGATACATCCAAACACAATCCAAACTCCTTTATGATGAGCTATACTCAAGGCCACACCTGAACTGACCTTGCACCCTCTCTGACCCTATCAGCTACTACTTTCCTCCTGCTCATTTGGCTCAAGCTTCACTGGCCATCACAATGCTGCTAAGCACACCAAGCTCCTTCCTGGCTCACAGCCCTCCCTTGCTGTCCTTCTGCCTCTTCCTACAGATCATCCCCACAGCAAAGTTCCTCACTCCATTCAGGTCTCTGACATTCTAATATACTCTTGTCATGGAGGCTTTCCTTGATTATTTTATATAAAATGGCAATGTTCCACATCCTCCCATTATTATTTTTCTTCAAGCCATATTTTTCTTCACAGCATGTATCTCTGCTTTAAGTACTTTTAAAAACTTTGTTTATTGCTTTTCTTCTACATTAGTCTAGAAGCTTCATAAGGGCAGGGCTTTGTATCCCCAGCCCCACACAGGACTAAAGGGCTAACATACTTAACATTCTCTGTACCTCCAGTTTGCTCATTCATGCAGTGGAGATCATGATAGTGACCAACCTCAGAGAGGAGTTGTGGGGATCAAACAAGTTATTGGTTCCTAGAGCTCAATGAAACAAGGCTGTCAACAGAGTGCTTCACTTCCACAACTGGACTAAGACCCAGAAGTTCCACTCTAGTGTCTTTCCACTATTCTCACAAAACATTACAGACTGGGAATCCAGAGAGGTGACCTAACTGAGATGGCATATTGGACTAAAACCTTCTTAGCCATTCAGGGTAGAACCATATCCTCCAGATAAGGGAGGAGGCAACTCCCCTGTCCTCTCAGGCCCTGTGAAGGGCTCTCCTGATACAAGCCCTGTAGGAATCAGGCACACTCAGGTATTGGGGCTGTCTCCTAACTTCCTAGGGGAAAAAAAAAATGTAGCTCACCAAAACTTTGGTCATACAACCAACAAATATTTATGGAGAATCTTTTAAAGTCAGGCCCTACACACAGAAAAAAGACATGGATGGTCTCTGTTCTCATGAAGCTAAATATGACACAACTTCCAAAAATCCACTAATCTGCTTTATAAACTTAAGAAAAAAAAAAGGTTTTATTTCTGGGATATGAACAGCAGTACATTTTCATCAAGGTAAAAAATTTCAAACAAATACTTTATGGCCTGAAAAGAACAATGCCTCCATATTATGAAAAAAAAAAAAAAAGCTACTTATAATCTGGAGACTCCCAATTTCATCCAGTGCATCTAGAATAATGGACTTCCAACCTATCATCCACAGTAAGAAACAGTTTATATAGAACATCCACACTTCTTATAACTGAAAAATAAATTCCACAAAATAATTAACATGTGATACTATTTTCCCTATTTTTAAAAAATGTTCCTCACACCTCAGTAAATTGTTATGTTCTGTGATTTAATTTAAACAAAAGGGGAAGGGGAGAAATATAAGTAAGTGAGAAGCACCCAACATGCATATGTGTTTTCCTAATTCACAAGAGCAAAATCTTTTAGTGCTTCCCCCCATCCATGCATAGGCTTCTCTCCTGTGCTACAAACCCAGACATATGCTCAGGTTTATATTCCAGCAACCACATAAACCAGCCCCACACAGCTCCACTCCTATTACTTCAGGGATACCTGACACAACAGGAATATTCTTACTCAGAACAGTGAGGCAGACACTGAGTCTGGACTGATCTGTCTAGGTTAAAGTCAAGCATCACCACTTTATTAATTATATGACCTTGGGCAAGTTATTTAATGGCTCTCTGGCTAGACAGGATACTAAATGAACCTGTCTCACTGGATTGCAGAGAATTAAATTAGTTAGTATATGCTTGCTTGGCACATAGTAAGTGCTATGTCAGTGTTTGTCACACCAAAGGAAACCTCTTCTGCCTAAACCTTATAGCAGTGATTTTAGGCATCATTAAAAGTTTCTTCAGTCATTAGTAATTAATTTGAGCATAATATATACCAGGAAACAGATCTGACCTACTAAGAACTACTTAATAAGCAATATTTTAATAAGTAGATCTCCAATCTACTTGTTTTTTAGTAGCCAATATTTCTGTGTAGACAGATGGAAGTCTACATGCAAATAACAGCCCTATCTATTCCTGCAACCCTCAACAACAAAACAAAACCTTTGCTACTACTATCCTTTAGAACCTCTTAAAGCCAGGAGGACTAATTGCTTTGAGCTGAAGAATTCAAAATAAACACACCTTCTGTTCAGGCAGAAAATAATCCTCTTTAACACCAAAAAGTCTTCTTTGCCCTTGAAAACGCATTCAACTGAGTTATTTTGTCTATTCTATTTATATAACAATTATACCACTCATTGCCCTCTTCCAAAGAACAGTTCATTCTTCATGGAATTTTCAATAGATCTGAATGGTTTTCCAAAACTAACTGGTACTATTTCTATACAAACACAGAAGTTACAGAATTTCCCAACAAGTGCTACTGTCTTGCCTAACTACAGGTTGAAGGCAGATCTTCTGGCATATGCACATAACATTTAATATAAAAATGTCTAGAATGCTAACAATTCCCCTTTTCCACTCACTAATAATTTCAGGGTGAGAAGTTCATCAATTTTTCTTTCTGATTATGATATATTGTATCAACATCACCAGTGATCTTTAATTAATATATTACTTTAAAATTCTCATATTTCTATATTTAAAATTTCATTACTTAATTAAAAAAAATTAGGGTAGATTTTTAATACCCTGCTATGTATTGAAGAGAGCTAATAAATAACATTCCTTAGATTTAAAAATACAAAAAACCAAGCAACTCTAAAAATTAGATCTGGAATAATATACTTAATCCATCTTGGAATATTTATACTATCTTTTCCCAGTTAACAATACTTTCCAGGAAACCACCTGCTTAAATCCACGGGACTTATTTTCATCAAAAACAATTAAGAGTAGAGCTGGGGATGTGGCTTAGTGGTAGAGCACTTGCACAGCATGCATGAGGGCCTTGGGTTCAATCCCCAGCATCGGGATGTCGGGAAGCATCTAGAATAAAATATCTCAACTTTTCACATCTAGGCATTTATAACTGCCTTTTTCTTTAACCACAGTCTCTCTTTCCTTTTTGTAAACACTTTAACTGTTTTAGCACATACTAATTGAAAAGACTACCATCTTTTACAGATGTCAAGTTGACTTTCAAAATTTTCCCTAATATATTCTTTACTTCTTTATAAAGGACAGAAAAAAAACAGTTTTCTGGTTTTAACATTGGTAAAAAAATCCAAATCTAACCAAAAGGAAATCACAACAAGCATTTTATAATATAAACAGACAGTATCCACATAGTTTATTTCTCACAGTTCTCCTGACAAATGAACATTATTCAAGAACATACTGTATACACAGATAAGAAGAAACATACAAAATGTTTTAAATGATGCACAACAAAATCCAGCAGTATAAAAGAATGCATGTGAACTCTTGCTCACTGCGCAGACTAAATTTAATCACTTGTTTAAATAGTAATAAAAATACAATCTTTTATGGATCTTGTGCAGACTACAAAAGAGGGAAATTATTACCATATATATGATTTTTATATTAGGCAGTTTTCTTTGATGAGTTGTACCGACAACTCCAAATACAGAGGCAGAAGGCTGTGTATTTTAAAGGAATTAATGTTGTGAATTAGAGACTTTACACAGTTACTACCACTGGCACTTTTCACCATAGTTTGTACACATCACATGATCATCTTATATAACATTACATTTAAAAAATATATCTGAGTGACAATTTTATAACATTCACACACCATGAGCTGGTTAAGGAAGCAATGCCACAATTGCCTCCTGTAGTGCTTCACTGTTGGTAATAAGGACAATTCATTGTGGTTAAAAGAAATTAGATATCAATATGGGGAAGCAGCTCTGATTTACTAAAGGCCAACAATGGCCACCACTGGGACAGTGAGTTCTTTTAGAGCATAGATCCTAGAAGCAAACACCATCATTGGTTAAAACTTTGTCTAAAGAAGTCAGTTTCTGTGCTGAAAACTATTTTCACAAAACTGAAAGCTACTTAACTGTTTTAATATAAATACTTTGTCTTCTCATTATCATATTTATGGCCAAGTTCTTTGAAACCTTTGGAATTTACTCTTGCTTTAATGTGTGCTCTCATTTCCATCTCACCCATTTAAGATCGCCACCTAAAAGGCTTTTAGTGGTGAAAAATTCACCAGGGAAACCCTTCGCTCACCAGGAATGTTCAACTGCTGAACGTGATCTAGAGCCACAACAGTGCAGAGCTGTACTTGACGAGAACACTCAGGAAGCTCCCATGCTGTGTCATTTTAGGGAAAGCAGAGAATCTTTCCAAACTGTGCACATAATTAACAATGATACCATTGCTATGTGTTGAAGAGGACTAGTAAATGATGTTCTCTTCCATGTCATCTGTTTGCTGGAAAGTAGTTTGGATCAAGGTAATTATAACTGGTGCCGTGGGACACACAGTAGTCTCTGTCTAAGAATGTCTCTGACCTATAAATAGGTTCTAATTGGTGATCTTCCTTGTGAATATCTGTTTCATGTAGGCTGAAAAGAAAAAAAAAACACACACACAAACTCATCATTACATGGCACTGGATGCATTTTGTCTACATACTACAAAACTTTTTCAGTTCTACCTACTTAAATCCATTAAGCTATTAAAATGTTTAATAGAAAGCTATTTGAGATGGTACGATTAAAATGTTTTAATTGCTTAGAACAAAATTCAACAAAAGTATGGTTACTGTTTTAAAGAAGTTTGGAGATCAAATTTACTGGCTGAGAAGACCTTTACTTGCCACAATTTAAAGTGAAAAATGAAGAAAACACTTACCAATCTGAACAAGAGTCACAGAAGTCCAAAGACATTTCTGGAGGACAATCCTGGCAATGCCATCGAACACCCTGGATAGGTTCTATGCCACAGTTATCACACTATAACAGATTCAGTGGGAAAAAGTTATTAAGCTATATTGCTTTACCTCTTTCATTTTCTGCTGGGAAAACATGACAATGCACATAGATGCCTTCTCTTCATCCCCTACCCACTAGAAAGTTGCCTAATGTAGTAGAGGTAAGCAGCTGGGCACATGGTGCTTGCCTGTAATCTCAGCTACTTGGAAGTAGGAAGCAGGAAGATTGCCAAAGTCAAGGCCAGCCTCAGAAACTTAATGAGATCCTGTCTCAAACATAAAAAATTTAAAAAGGGCTGAGAATATAGCTCACTGGTAGAATGCCCCTGGGTTCAATCCCCAGTACTGGGGGTGGGGGTTGCTAGTGGATGCAAACTAGGTAAAGGGTCTATCCACTTGAGAGCAAGATACAGGTGGGTGCCAGGTATACCAGAACATGCCTCCAGCTACTCCAGAGGCTGAGGCAGAGGTTCAAAAGTTCAAAGCCAGCCTTTCTCTAAAAATAAAATACAAAAAGGGCTGGGGGTATGGCTCAGTGGTAGAGGCCCCCTGGTTTAAATCCCAAATACTCCCAACCCAGCCCCCCCACCCCCCAAAAAAAACCACAGGTGAATGAGAGGAGCATTATAAGGAATAACTTTCAATGAACTATAATTTAAGAAGTTTTTAATCATCTCAAACTCAGCCATTTTGTTCTTAGTAACCATTATTTTAAAAGTACCTCAGACCAGTATGTGATAATTGTGAACACTGACTTCATTCCATAGTTAAAGTTATCCAAAAACTATCAGGACTGTTTTAACAGTACTACCATAACTACCATAACTCAGGCAACTACAAAATATTATCTGAACTCTTTATCTTATTGAAGCCCAAAAGAACCTGATAACCAATGCTCATCATGACTAAGAGGCAGATTCAGCTCTTTCTCAATGTGGTAGCACTGTGATAGCCCTCAGTACTTTCTGTGGAATTTTGAAAAGCCAAGTCAATCATGTTTTTAGATTCTATGATCATCAGGCCAACTATGGTGGCTAACAGACTAGCCAACAAGTCGTGGCTGGGTCCTAGAACAAAATAATGACAAGTAGCAAGTTTCCTCTCAAAAAGGCAAGAGCTGCCAGTTAGGAAAACTTCTAATGGAGATCAAGAGGGAAAATCATTTAATATAGTATAGCTGATGGCTACTCCAGAGTCAGAAGTATAATTTTGTTTTCAACTTAGGTGGTCAGTCACAGTGTATACCAAGACTTTAAGTATACTGCCAACAGAAATACCAACATCAAGTTTATGGTTTCATTACTTCCTCTAATTTTACCAAATACAGTCAATTATAATGCTGAAAGTTTTCTCAAACCTGTTAATCTCTCCCTCTTTCCACAGGTTATTCTTTTATCTAAATTACTAAAGGAATCTTTAAGCTATCTCCTTGCCTCCAGTCTTGCCTTCTCCTAATTCATTCTCCATAAAATATGACCAGGACGATCTTTCCCTCCCCCTCACTTATATATATTTTTAATTACATGAATAAGACACACAAATAGATTATTGTCTTACAAAATTTAAAAACAGTCAGTGACTATTTCTCAAAGCCCACTGTATTCCTAAAATTATCAAAGCTAAGAGTTAAGTCATTTAAATTATTTTTCTCACATTACTCTCTACTTAAAAATCTTTCAGTAACTCCCCAACCTCTTAGGATGGTTTAAACTCCTTGGCAAAACTTCCCCAAAGCCTCTGACTACTCTCCAGTATGCATTCTTAGTCGTATTCAATTATTTCATTTGTTTAGCATCTTTAAATTCTTTATGAGAATGAAAACAGCATAAGGGCAGCAACTGAGTCCCCCTTGTTTATTCCTGAATCTCTAGCACTTAGCAAAGTGCCTGGAACATAATGGGCATTTCCAAATAACGTGGAATGAGTKAATGTATTTCAATTAGCCTCTCCAAAAAAACAAAACAAAACAAAACAAAAAACCAAAAGYTGAGGTAACTCAACCTAAAGTGAAGGGAGGGCAGGGGATTCTGATCCATGAACAGGAGCAACAAAAAGATAGACAAAAACTTCTCATATTCTACCTCAATTATAGACAACTGTATGTTTTCTTCTCTACACTGAATCATAAGCCTCTTGACATTATGAACTGGGGCATACCACTTCTATAAAAGAATACGAGAGATAAACTGAACTAATAAGCTGAAATTTTCCCTGAATGCTTAGAGGTTTTAGATTTTTACTACTCCAGAAACCACTTGAAGTATCTCTTATCAATAGTAAGAATTTACCTTGAAGCCCACATGTTGCACAAATCCACTTTCAGCTTGCATTTGCTGAAGTTTCTGCTTCTTTAACTTTTTAAACTGTAACAATTCTTTATATTCAGGTAAATTCCTATACATGATAGGAATACTTTCTTCATCCTATTAAAAAATAGAACAAAATAGAAAACAAAAATGTTAGTTTGATAATTAAATGAACAAGTGTAAGAAATACAGATATAAATTTTCTATTGATAAGATTTTTTCACTTTTAAGATACCTCATTGTAGATTAGTGCTGCTGTTAACAATATTTTGTAGAGGGCTTTTTAACGCAATACTGATGCTGACTACTTCATAATGTAGGAAGAAGGGGAACATGATATGATTCTACCCATGTCATACACTACGACAAACCTAATCCCATCTCTACGTATTCATGGCTTCTTATGATCTACTACTGAGAACACTACTCATTATCCTGAGCAAGTTCAACTTGCAAATACCCAATCCTCTACTTCTAGCCTCTATCCTTAAGTTCTAYTACAATGACATTCATCTTCACTCTTTCTAAGTCTCCCATTCTGAGAATCCTTAGACCTTGGTGTCAATAGAAATGTTTTGCCTCCAAAATATTAAATTTAGATGTCTTACCTACAGTGTTACTTTCTACTTTTCTCAAACTCTCCTCCCAAATAGGCTGCCCCCGCCCTTTTAAACTTTACTAGAATTTCTAATCATTATCCTGGTTTCCTATTCTCCCAATGTATTCACACTCTGCCACCCATTCCTTTCCTTTGATCCCTAATAGCTGAGTCCATGGTCACCAATTGCTTAACTGCATTTCCAATTCACTGACCCCCAAGGTCCATTGATTTCCAATCCTGGACAACCTAACTCCTATCCCTTTCATTCCACCTGTTAGGTTATTATTAACTACCATGTTTATTTTCCCATCAAGGACACTGACGCTTATAAAAGCTGTAACACATGTCCAGAGTCATACAATTAATTAGTTGTAGAGTTGGATGATTTAAACCCAGAGTTTCTGACAACTTTAGCAGCTCAAGACAGAAATCTAAGAGTTATTCTTATTTTTTTACTCCCTCTTATCTAATCCAACAAACTCTGTCACTACCTAATACTATCTAAAATTTTTCTCAAATCAGTCCTCTAGTATCCACTCCCTCCCCTCCCCTTCCCCCATCATTACTTTAAATCTCCTAGTAGTTTCCTAACTATGGACATCATAAAGTCCAAAGTCCTCAGCTGGATAAAAGATCATTTAGTTTCACACTTCACTACCTTATTTCTCTCTCTCATCCATTTCAAATTCTTATCAACTAAAGTTGTTAAATAATAGGTATTATTTATTTCACCACTCAGAAAGATAATCTAAGTAATAGTATATACTAACAAGTATGATGTGACCCAAATAATAACATAATTAAGAAATTTTATAATAAAATATATTAAATTCAGATGTTTAAAACAAATGAAGAGTACAAAAACCTAAGTTTTTAAATTTGCATTTTAAATCTAAGGATATTAGATTTGGCCATCTAGTCTAAGATTAAAAAAAAGTTAAATCATCTCATACTCAGTTGAATAGCCACTGTAAAAGGAAAGAAAATAACAAAGAGTTGGCAAGAATGTAAAATGTGTGTTGCAGCTGCCTGGAAAACAGTATGGTGGTTCCTCAAACATTAACAAAATTGCCATATGATCTAGCAATACCACTTATGGATACACATCTTAAAAAATTGAAAGCAAGAACTCAAACTGATATTTGTACACCCATGCTCATAGCAACATTATTCACAACAGCCAAAAGATGGAAGCAACCCCAAGTATCCATCAAATGAATGGACAAACTGTGTTATGCACATAAAATGAATTATTATTTAGCCTTAAAAAAGAAAGAGGCCTGTGAGTGTAGTTCAATGCTAGAACATTTGCCTAGCATGTGCAAGACCCTGGGTTCAATCCCTAGTACAAAGAAAAGGAAAAGAAATTGTGGTACCTGCTGCAAAATGGATGAATTTTGAGGATATTATATTACGTAAGATATGTCATTCACAAGAGGGCAAATTTTGTATAAGTGCCCTTCAGTATCCATAGAGACTTGGTTTCAGGACCAACCAAAATCTAAAGATGCTCAAGTCCCTTATATTAAAAAAAAAAAAAAAAGATGTAGTATTTGTATATAACCTATGCATATCCTCCTATTTATACAAAATCTCTAGATTACTTATAATACTAATATAATGTAAATGCTAGGTAAGTAGTTGCACACTATATTGTTTTAGGGAATGATAAGAGAAATGAGTCTCTATATGATAAATATAGACATAATTTTTCCCTCACAAATATTTTCAGTTTGAAATTAGCTGAATCCACAGCTATAGAAGGTCATCTATGAGCCTCCATTTATCTGAGGTACCTAGAATAGTCAGTCAAATCCATGAAGACGAGAACTAGAATCAGTGAGGGTAAGCAAAAGCACAACAGTTTAAGCTGAATTTTAATAAAAAATACGAACTAATGGCCAGGCACTATGGAGCATGTCTATAAATCTCAGCAACTCAGGAGGCTGAGGCAGGAGAATCACAAGTTTGAGGCCAGCCCCAGCAACTTAGCAAGACACTGTCTCTAAATAAAATTTTAAAAAAATGGGGGCGGGGGGCTGGGGATATGGGGATGTAGCTTAGTAATTAAGAACCCCTGGGTTTGATCCCCAGTAGCAAAAAAAAAAAAAAAAAAAAAAAAAAAAAAAAATCCTTATGATTATGTTTCTCATCCTTAAACAAAAATGTAACATATTTATTTCCCAGTTCTGTCCACTAAATTGACATAAAAACAATAATTAACCCAGAAGCAAGTAATATTCCTCAAGTCAGGATATAGTCTCCAAATGCCATTTTCTAATAGAAGAAAGCAAGACTATCTGCTTATCTGCATGTCTGAGGCAGCACATATACATGATGAGCTTAAATGTTCCTTGTTGAAACAGATTATAAGGAAGCTATCAAATGCTACTGGTCTTATCATAAGAACTCAGAAGCCAACTTGGATAGGCAACAAGTGACAGGAGATAGGCTAACCTGAGACAATAACATTACATATATTAAGTCCAATAGTTCAGAAAAATACAAATTTTTAAATAAATTTTATTAGTCATCTTTGGAGCATAGAAGAGGATAAATTTGAACACAAGAAAATAAAGGCCAAATTTGATAGGTATCCTGCCATTTCTATATGTACCTCAGTGTACCAAATAACAGTGGATAGTAGGGTTTACTTTATAGAATATTCCATAAATACAAGATCAATTCTCAAGAACTCCTATCAGATTTACAGAAAATTCAAGGAACAGAGAAATAGGCTAAATGACACAAAAGAGATGCAATCAATAAAATCAACACAGGGCAAACTATCCAGTTCTCCAACAAAAATAATGTACAAGGACAAAAGAAAAAAAGACTTATTAAGAAACTAAACTTTCTGCAATTTACTGTCTTTATTTAGATCTAAGTTCAGATAAATATTCTGAGATGACAGGGGAAATGGAAACACTCACTAATTTCATTATACAAAGAACCACTTTTTCCTTTTCTTCTTCTTTTTTTTTTGGTTCCAGAGATTGAACTCAGGGGCATGCGACCACTGAGCTACATCCCCAGCCCTATTATCTTTTATTTTGAACTTGTTCCAAAATAATTCAGGCTGGAGTTGGGGTAGGGAGAGATGAAAAGCAGATTGCCAAAAGTTGTAACTATTCAAGTTGAGTAATAGGAGCATGTGGGTTTATTATACTGTTCATACTGTTCTCTTTTCTTATGTATATGTTTGAAATTTTCTTGTAAAAAATTTAAAACACACTCTTGAAAAAAAAATCACTTTAAATATGACTTGTTAGAAGAAATCAATATTCTCTGAAGAGGAGGAATAATTGGAAAATCCTGATACTTTCATAGTGCACTCTGATCTGTATTATAATTGAACAGATAACTTACTGATGCTTCTTCAATAGCAGTGTTCATGTGGCTATGGAAACAGGATCGGTCATCATCTTCATCCATATACACTGGTGGTTCGTGTGAAGTCATGAAAGTGGAAGGTTTAAAGAGATGTTTATTAAGGGGGTGTTGTCGTCTGCTTGTTGAAGACTAGATGAGAAAACAAATTTTTAGATGAGATAAGAGAAAAGCATTAAAAGAATCAAAACTATAAGTATTACTTCCAGCAACATCAGAAGGATTTCACTTCTGTCCTTTCACATACCCTTTTATATTATCTAGATTTTTAAAGCACCACTAGCCTTTACAAAAAAGAAAGAGAAAAAAGAAAAAACCTGTACCAGAAATGTAGGTAAAATCCCCAACAATGGAATAATTGACCACATGTTCATTACTTAGCTTATATTTGTATCCTCAGCATTAATCACTTTTGCATTCAAATGTTGACTGCACTGAACTCCTCTTACTATCTTTGTGTAGGGGGCGGGCAGGGGAGAGTACTAGGGATTTAAACTGAAGGGTGACTATCTAGTAGAAGGAAAGTTTCTATCACTAGATGAATGTATGAAAATAATTACCTTACACTGCTTACTTTATGCCAATTTAATCCTCACAACATTCCTATAAAGTACTTACTATTACCACCTACTGATATACAGGGAGGTTAATTTTCTTGTTCAGTGTGTTGCAGCTACACAGTGTTAGAACCAGGGTTACAAACTAGAACTGTGCGGTAACAAGAAACTCACTCTCCCCCACTGTGAGGACTGCCTTTCATGATCAATTGCACAAATACAAGGAACAATCTGAACGAATAACCTAAGCTACATGGAGAACAATTATTTCCCCCATTTTAAAATTTCAACTCTGACCACTGTAAAAAATTATTGTGATCACAGTTGTGCTAGTCATAGTTAAAATGTATGTTAACTTCCAACACAGTACACCCAAACAAATGGACACATTTAGGTTTCTCCAGTATTCCTCTGGTTATCATCATCCAGATAACTGTAAAAGTTTAAGGTGCAAAACACAACACACCTATAAGGTTAGCTTAGAAATTATTCATGAAAATTAGAGCTGTCAGGGAGAACACTGGTTATCTAAAGTTATAGAATAAACTCTTCACATCTAATAAGGGTAAATGCTATATTGGGGGGGGGGTCCAAACTGTTTTAAACAATTGCCAAATTGAAACAAGCCTCAAAAGCTTGGTAAAAATAACTTTTAAAAACTTGTAAAACATGAAGCTATATAGACATATTAAATTACATAAATAGTTCACTTCCATTAGGAAAGGCAACAAAACTGACATACTCTTTAGTTTTTCTTTATATGAAGAATGGCAGTGTTGGGGAAGGGGAAGTATCTGAACAATTTAGGAAATAAAAGAAATTCAATTAGCTACTTTTTTTTTTCTAATTACAACAAAAAGCTGGCTACAATTTAATCGACTATTCTGAACCAAAAAAAAAAACAACAAACAAAAACAACCCAAACAGTAGCTTTTTTTTTTTTTTTTTTTTAAAACCATAGAAAAACAGAAGGACTGAGAAGAAACAAAGCTCAGTGGTAGAGTGTTTCTAGCATGTGTAAGGCCCTAGGCTCAATCCCTAGTAACACACACACACACACACACACACACACACACACACACATGCACGCACAACAGAAAAGAATTATGGAAAGGGCGAGGTATCAGAAACAGTGAATAATGGTTCTCAGATTTATTAGCTACCTGACCAGACCAAAAGAAAAAAGGTTATTACAGAATAATACCTGACCCAAGGGTCTCAAAAGTAAGAATAATTGCTACTTTCTTAGGGATGGTACCAGGGATTGAACTCAGGGGCATTCAGCCACTGAGCCATATCCCCAGTCCTATTTTCTATTTTATTTAGAGACAGGGTCACACTGAGTTGCTTAACATCTTGCTTTTGCTGAGGCTGGCTCTGAACCTGCAATCCTCTTGCCTCATCCTCTCTAGCAGCTAGGATTACAGGTGTGTGCTACCATGCCTGGCTAACCGCTACTTATTAACATTATTTTCAGTGAAGCGAAGGTAAGAATATTACTTTCATTTCTACAATTGCAGTGAGGATAAGTAAAATATCTTAACAAACATTTCTATTTTGAGATTTATGCACCAGAGCTACAAAATAAATTGTACAAACATCTTAAAAGCTTTAACCTCAAAGGCCTTTCTAATACAGTTTCAATATAAAGTTTTTCAAGTAGCACTCATTTGTATTACCTCCAAGAAAATAATGAAGAAGCATTAAGGCTCATTAATTTTTTTCTAAAGGAATCCTATTCTGCATTTATGCCCAATATAATAAAATGCTTATAATGAACAAAATTTTAAAAATAAAATCATTCTATTTGATAAATAAGCACATTTTTACATAGCAATTCTGATTTAATGAATTTAATCTAGGGTTTGCTTTCATCTATTTTCTTTTTACCTTTCTGGAGTATATATACAAGTTTGGTGTTCTGCCTGGGACTGGAATGCCAGCTTTAGTTAGCTTTATGAAATACTTCTGTACCCGACTGGCAACCTAAGGAAATATGACAAGCCTTTTAAAATAATGAGATGACATGCAATACTTGAGTAAATTTAAATGTACATGTATAACTAATGCTAACAATTTAAAACCATCATAAATCTAGAAATAACGTCAAATTGGCACCAAATACATTTTTACTTAAAAATCTAGACAAAAAAATAATTTGAGTAAATTTAAATTTGTTTGATCCAAAGCAACACATATATTTTCAACTTGTGAACCTCCATGCTTGTAGCATAAAAACGTATCTATTAATATATATGGGAATGTGAAGTAAGAACCCACAAGATAACATTTTTATAAAGGAAACAAGGGAATACTAAAGCAAATCTATTAACACAGTCTAACCAAAAAGTACATAAATTAATACACTTAAAAAGCATTCAAAAGTTACTAAGTCCACTCTATTTTTACTTTTTAATAACTAAGATTATCTCAAGTTGTTTTTGAAATCAATATGAAAATATACAATGCTGCAGCCAATATGGAAACAGTATGGAGATTCCTTGGAAAACTGGGAATGGAACCACCATTTGATCCAGCTATCCTACTCCTTAGTCTATACCCAAAGGACTAAAAAACAGCATACTACAGGGACACAGCCACATCAATGTTTATAGCAGCACAATTCACAATAGCTGAACTGTGGAACCAACCTAGATCCCATCAGTTGATGAATGGATAAAAAAATGTTGTATATACACCCAATGGAATACTATTAAGCAGGAAAAGAGAATAAAATCATGGCATTTGCAGGTAAATGAATGGGTGAAGTTGCAGAATATAATGCTAAGTGAAGTTAACCAATACTAAAAAAAAAAAAAAAAAAAAATGCTGAATGTTTTCTCTGATACAAGGAGGCTGATTCATAATGGGGTTAGGAGAGAAGTATGGGAGGATCAGATGAACTCTAGAGACAGCAAAGGGGGAGAGGGGCTGAGTTGTGGCTCAGTGGTAGAGCATTGCCTGGCATGTGTGAGGCACTGGGTTCAATCTTCAGCACCTCATAAACATAAAATAAAATAAAGGGATTGCGTCCATCTACAACTAAAAAAGAAAATTCAAAAAGGGGGAGGAAGGAGAAGAGAGGGGGCATGGGGATAGGGAAGACAATAGAATGAGCTGGACATCATTACCCTAAGTACATGTATAAAATCATGAATGGTGTGACTCTACTTTGTGTACAACCAGAGATATGAAAAATTGTGCTGTATATGTGTAATATGAATTGTAATGCATCCTGCTGTCATATATAACGAGTAAAACTGTAAAAACAAACATTAAAAAAATAAGCCAGACTTAGGAAAAGTAAAATATACAATGCTAATAACTTTTTTTTTAAAACATCACATATGATTGCATTCTACAGACAGAATGATATGGCAGATTTGATGTCAGCTGGATTATTCTTCATAATAAAACTAACAGAAACATGCTGATGATCTGCAGCCATCTCTTCAATTACCTGTTTTGCTGTTCTGTTACCCAGCTCATCTGCAATCTTCTGCCAACGTCGAGATTCTACTTCTTCAGGGGGGTATTTCAGAAGTAGCTGTTCAAGTTTTTTCTAAGCCAAACCCAAGACCAAATTTTTAAAAAAGTAGTAAATTAAAATCAGTGAATTTCTAAATAAATACACTAACATTTCATTTCAAAGTATAATATTCCTTTCCCAACTTTGGGGATTATGCTACTAGAAATTGTCAGAGTAAGAAAAATTTCTAGTTAGAACTGAAGGCTTCCCAGAGAAAATGAGATTAAAGAAAACACCTATGAAAGATCTTATAAAGGTTTTCTATTCACTTCAGTAAAAAAGACAAGACCAGAAAATAAATTAAACAAACTGAGAAATGAGTAAATCCTATCATATAATATGTATACATCTTAGTGATTTCCACTGATTATCTTTTCTTGCTAAAATATGTCAGGCTCTCCCTTATAGTTTTAAGAAAAACACATATAAATTCTTCAAATTTAGAATATTAAAAGAAGCTTTTCCGTCTTTTATGTGGTCCTCCTAATTTTTTTTTAAGATTATGGTATCTTTTATTTTTTTTTCCTACAAGTTTTTTTATAAACTGCCAAACTGATTATAGCTGTGAGGTTAATATGAGACAGAGATGTGTTTCAAACTTTGCCAATAAACAACCCTCCTCATATGCCAAAACATAACAGAGCACTCTGGCTTTGCTTTATCAGCTTCTCCCAACAACAAAATTTAAAAATGTACTTGGAGCTTTCTCCCTCTTCCAAAGGTACATTACAAAAACATCTACTTTATGGGACTGGGGTTGTGGCTCAGTGGAAAAGCACCTGCCTAGCATGCGTGAGGCACCGGGTTCAATCCTCAGGATCACATAAAAATGGATAAACAAAATGGTGTCCATCTACAACTAAAAAAGAAATTCTTACCAAAAAAAAAAAAAAAAAAAAGCCCACCACATACACACTTTATTTCATCCATTTCTATCTCCCTTTCAAAACCCAGGTTTCTTCCTTAAAAATTATCTCTAAACAAGAATTCATATATCCTAACAATCCAAAATTCTTGAAATGTGCAAAAAAGGCATACAAAAATGCCTAAATATTTTAAAAATCAATATTTAAAAGGGATGACATTCAATAATACACATTTGACTCATAATACCGATTAATAATGGTAACAGTTTATGGGTTGTTTTAAAACCTACACAGTTTAGAAATATCTATTACCTGTTCTTCAACAGTCCATAACTGGTTAAATGTTTCAGGTTTGGTATCATCATAGAGGCGTCCTCTTATCATCTGCATAATAAAATAAGGCTTTTTTCAAATGGGAAATAACACAGTCAAATAACAAAAATTGTGGGACTTCTCATGAATCCCAAAATAAATCTGGTAAATTTATTTTTTAATAATGTATACCTAAGCTTTACTATTCAAATTCTTATATTTCATTTGGTTTGTTTGTTTATTTATTACTCTTAGTAATGCTGTCATAAACATGCTAATAATTCCTTTTTTAAAAAAGGAAATGTGGATTCAAAATGTAGCATGTCTAACAGTGAAAAGATCAGGACTGAACTCCCGGTCACATTTCACAATATACACTTTACTAGGCTCAATACATGTAAAGACCCACTTAATTCTCACAATACCCGTTGTAACATTAACTATATATATATATATATTTTAAGTACTGGGGATTGAATTCAGGAACACTTTACCACTGAGTTACATCTCCAGCTCTTTTTATTTTGAGACTGGGTCTCACTAAGTTGTCGACACTGGCCTCGAACTTGTGATTCCCCTGTCTCAGCCTCCAGAATTCCTGGGATTATGGATATATGCCACCATGCTGACCTTAGTTACATTTAATAAGAATTGCATCCTAGAGATTTTAACAAAACAACACCCAAAGTTTAACAGCTAGTAAGTTTAGACACCAACCCAGGTTCTGCTTAACTTCAAGGTGGATATCCTTACCATTATCTTCTTCTGAAACACTGCTTTAACCAGGTAATCCCAGCAACTCAAAAGGCTGAGGCGGGAGGATCACAAGTTAGAGGACAGTCTCAGGAACTTACTTAGGAAGACCTTGTCTCAAAGTAAAATATAAAAAAGGACTAGGGATCATAGCTCAGTGGTAAAATGCCCCTGGATTCAATTCCCAGTACCCCCCAACCCCGCCTTAATTTTAGAACACAAACTAGTAAAATATTAAAATATTGTATCCAAAACTCAAATTTTCCTACTTCAATATTTAATATTGCTTACCTGAGGACGACTGTTTGAGCCTTCTGGACCATCACTCAAAGGCAACATAGAGTATGAAAGGGACTCTCCATCCTTCTTAGGATCTAAAGGACTTTTTGGTCTAGCAGGTAAACCTACTAAAAACAAAACCATGTACAGAATTGTTAAAGCAAGGCATTGCCATATGTTTCTTTAGTTAAATTCTTATCATGTGATTTCTTACCTTTATCAAAAAYTAACTTAACTCTCCTAGTATGTCTTTTACGATTTTTAAATTCTCTTTCAAAGTTCCCAAGGCTATTGGTATATTGGTCCCATATAATCTCAGGCAACTGCACAACTCTCTGTGGATATGGAAGCCCTATATCAGCCTGGAAAAAAGATGAAACAAAGAAAAACAAAGGGAAAACCTAAATTTACTTCAAGAAACAATCAAATATACTCAAATTTTCAGATGACCCCATATTCTAATTACCAGTAAAGCATTTCCATGCACCAACAGGATCCAATGAATAATAAAGCTAGTTAAGATAATATAGCCCAGATATTAAATGCTAAAATGATGACAAGGAAAAATGAATTTGGCAAAAAATAAGTACTCCTTAAAGACACAGTTCTAAATATCAACCATACAAACACTGTACCATCATCACTAACACATTTAAACATAAATGCCAAGGCAAAAATGTATCTAAGAATAGATATAAAATGTGTTGACTATAACAAATAAAATATGATACACAGAATTCATTTTAAATACATCCCATGTTTATGACTTCTTTGTACACAATGAATTATTTTCACAAATTATGACTTTTTTTTTTTTTAAGTGCTGAAGAGCAAACCCATGGCCTGTGCATCCAAATCACAAATCCCAGACCCAAATTATCACACATACCTCTCCCCCCATCCCACCCAGTACTGGGGATTGAACATAGGGGTACTCTATCACTGAGCATCCCTACTTCTTTTTTCACTTAACCACTGAGCAACATCCCCGGTGCTTTTTTGCATTTTATTTAGAGACAAGGTCTCACTGAGTTGCTTAGGACCTTGCTAAATTGCTAAGGCTAGCTTTGAACTCTAGATTCTCCTGCCTCAGCCAACAGATGGAGCCCCTGGGATTACAGGCATGCACCACTGCACTGTAATCCCAGTTGCAAATTTCACTTTAAAAAAGAAAGAATTACAGGGCTGGAGCTGTAGCTCAGTGGCAGAGCACTTTTCTGGCATGTGTGAGGCACTGAGTTTGATCCTTAGCACCACATAAAAATAAATGCTGTCCATCTACAACTACAAAAAAATAAAAATAATTTAAAAAAAAATTATAGTTAACTACATGCATTGCTGAAGTGTTTTGGTGGGCAAAATCTGAAAATCATCTGAAATGATCAAATGCATTCACCCATATTCAAATATGAGGAAATGACAGACACAAGGATTGACAGACACAAGATATATGACAAAGCAAAGATAGTAAAATGTTACTTGTAGAATACAGGTGATGGGTCTAAGTGTGTTAATTATACAAAACTTTCAATTTTTCTATGTGTTCAAAATTTTCTACATTAAAATAAGGGGAAATCATAAATTATAAAACTGACAAGCAAAATCCTTATGACACAAAATTCTTAATTTTTATTTTGCTTACAACATATTGCATCATCACCATCAAAAAACTACAGATTATTCTAAGGTCCAACTTTTACAAAATTAGAGGATGGAGTATTTTAAAATAATGATGGTAATATCAAACAAAACTAAACAAGTCATATATATTCCCTGCATCCTATATACCAATATATCCCAAGTTTCACTAATTTCACATTGGAAATTTTTAGATGTCCCCAAACTAAATTGACCACATATCAACAACTAACATGGTATACCTAAAGAATACACATGTATAAACACAGAACAATGAAAGACTTAAACCTCTACATCAAATCTAGTGGGGAAATTTCTTCTAAAGAAAATAATCTTTCATGTTATTAATGTGTCTGAATTTAAAACACTTCTGTATGTCTTTGTAAAAAAAATGCTTGTACACTCAGAAAAATGAGAAATTATATCCCATCTGATTCAAATGTATGATATGTCAAGATCATTGTACTGTCATGTGTAACTAAAACAAATAAGTAAATAAAAGAAAAAGAAGTATCAAATAATCAAGTGCATACAAATCTAGCATATATGTCTAATTGCATATTTTTGCCTACTTAGAAATATAATTAAAATAAGATTAAGGTTAATGTTTTTATTAATATTTACTTTTCTAACATTAATTTGTTGTAAAATACCATTATAAGTACAATATCTTTGCTCACCAGCAAACTTGCTATTAACAAGGCAAAATTGATAAACATTTAAGGGGACCCTACTTAACACAGAAAGTATAATACAGCTCTAAAGTCTTAGAAGTTTTAACAAACCAATATATAGATTCCACATCTATTATGAAATTTAACATTTTTTGAAAGCATGAAAAGAAGGTTTGCCAAGTAAATAATAGAGCTAGAGGGGCTGGAGTTATGGCTCAGCAGTAGAGCGTTCGCCTAGCACATGCAAGGCCCTGGGTTCAATCCTCAGCATCACATAAAAATAAATAAATAAAATAAAGATATTGTGTCCAACTACAACTAAAAAATAAATATTTTTTAAAAATAAATAAATAGGGTTGGGGCTGTGGCTCAGAGGTAGAGTGTCCACCTACATGCGTGAGGCACTGGGTTTGATCCCCAGCACCACATACAAATAAAATAAAGATATTGTGTCCACTTATAACTAAAAAATAAATATCTAAATAAATAAATAAATAAATAAATAAAACAAAGGTATTGTGTCCAACTACAACTAAAAACTAAATATATATTTTAAAAAATAATAGAGCTACAAAAATACAAATACTAAGTTAATACATGTAATGATATGAAGTCCCCAAGGTTGTTGCCCAACATCTGGTAGACAACACTTTTGTAATTTGGTAAGGGGAAGTAAACTAGTAAAATTAAATGTTTAAAAAAGCAAATACTCATATAGAAGAAGAAACCAAATTTTAAGTAATTATCAAAAATATCTTAATGAATATTAAGAAATACCAATGTATACCTTCTTCTGGAGTTTTTCCACAAATCCAATAGGATTCTTCAATGCTTCTCTCTGGTGTTTGCCTAAACTTTCAAGGTCTTGGACTGCTTGAGAACGCTGAGCCTCAAGTACAGCAATTGTCTGTAGTAATCTCTGGTAACTACAGAGAAAAACATCTCACTAAAATTTTCAAGTAACAACAATATGTAAAAACTGAGTTCAAGCCATGATCTACTATTAAGGCACACAATCTTTTCAAAGTTACCTGAAAGAGTTTAGTAAAACATATTACTGGGAATAAATGAGGTCTTCCTGAGTTACGTAGTACCTAGTCAGAAAACATCAGTTAGAGAAAGCAAAGCCTTCTTCCCCCATCAGTAGTTTTTAATTCTTGAATCTCGAACAAGTACAAAAAATAAGAAAGTATTCTGACTTTCCAACAATCAGAGTGGTTAAGAAACTGCTAAAAATAAATCATAAAATTTCATCTAGGAAGGATCACCAAATCCAGCTACTTTGTTGTACTCTGTTGGAATATGGGATCTCAAGGCACATTTTCTTAGCCAGAGTCACAGGATAGTGTCACATAATTCAGACATGATCTCAAGTCTCATAGTTCTCACTTACTCTTTCTACTATACCCCCTCCCTCATTTTAAAGATTTACTTTTCTATCAACAAATAGCACTTTTCCCCCCTTAACATTTATGATAAAGACAAATATCTTTAAGTTAATGGGCATTTATAGAGAAGTCATTATTTTTACTTCTCTCCCTGCAAAGTTTTATTTAGCACAGCTAAAATAGTATTTTGCCTGTATAAATCTATCACTTGTCACTATCCTGAAATCTCACTCTAGTTCATATATACTAATTAATTCATTCTCATTCATAGTCTTTCAGCATAAGTTGTACTACCCTTCTGACTAATGTCTAATTTCGCATGTCAATATACATTTAGAAACATATTAACACAAAATCCCTGAATATCCAAACACATTTTATAAAAAGCATCAAGAAAGTCACTCCAAGTTCACTTTAAAATAAACAATTAAGTCCTTAAAATATGGCGAAGCTTTTTCTTTATGGCTTCAAATGCATCTTGTTTCCCATTAGACTGTATGTTCCACAATGGCAAACTCGTCTGTTCTGTTCACCATTTTGTTTAGGCAAGTATGACATACTTCCCAGCATCTAGATGCTCATGAGTATTTGTTGAATGAAGAAATGAATGGACTGATACTTTGTGCAATCAAATTTTGCTTACATCTTATAAAATCAAAAGTAAACTGAATCTTAAGTTCAGAAGTCAGCAAATGGACAGAAATATCAAAGGTAAAACAATACAACTTTGAGGTTCAGAGCCATAATTGAACTGCAACATAATATTCTCTCTAAAAAAACTTTCTTATTCCCCTGCATAAAACTCATCTTATTCTTCTCAAGTTCTTTGTTAACTAATCTCAATAAAATGTTTAATCATTAACGTAAAACTGCTAACACTGAAGGGTAAGCTTCCTCTGGGAAGGCTAGGGCTCTTCTAAATTACTCCTAGATAAGTTATAGAAGTTAAGACTAAACTCATTAAGGCTCCTTTTTTAAAAAAAAATTATTATTGTTTTGGATTTCAGGTCTATTTAAAATGAGTGATATTAATAGCACTAAATTCAAAAGTTGTTTTCATATAGTAAGTATTAGAAAGCAACCCAGAAAATGAGAACTGGAGCTTTGGGAAGTATGAAGTACATACAAACCCAGCCTCCATGGCTGATTGTACTCCATCAGCTCCCCCAAGGCTCAGTCTCAGGGCAATGGTATTGARCTGAGTACCAGAAGCTATCCTCTCTACAACACTCTATAAAGCAGCTCATCTAGAACTCCTATTCCACTAGATGGATACAAAGAAGACCCATCATGGTGTGTCTACCCCTGTTTAAAAGAGGAGTTGTAGTTTCATATCACTTTTTTAAAAATTCTGAGCTTATTAAGTTTTCGGCAAATTTCAATAGGGAAAGTAATAATTAATGAGGCACAAGAAAGAATGGAATTGTTAAAAAAAAAAGAGCTAATACTTAAAAAGAAGTTAGTTACAAAGACAGCTGTCCTTTGTTATGTTTACAGCAAACTGACACTGGGAAGAAAGGCCTATAATTGATGTCAATAAATTATAACAACTTTAATGTATGTAAATTACTCCACAATAAATCTGACTTTGAAAAACATTCAGATATGGAAAGAATCATAAAAAACAGGAATGACATCTAGAAAACAAGTTAAAAACATGTTAAATACAGTCTATTTTCAATTCTCTCCCTCCACCCACTCCACTCTCAAAACTACAGAAGTTGATCCAGTCACAGATCCATGGCAAGACTTGTTCATTAATTCAACAATTACTAAGAAAACAAGGTACTATCCTAAAAGTTATCTAATTACTAAGATAAATCAGGTATGGAACTTAGGTATAACAAAAGAGCTATAATTACACCAAAGAAGAAGCAAAGGAATTGGATGGGAATTTTAATGGGCCAGGATTGGTCATCTTAAGAAATCTATCACACTAGTACATCTATTTTTGTGTAGCTGTTCAAAACTCTCTGAATTAAAAATTTAAAAACAAAACAACTCTAACTCTGGCCCAAATTAACAAGGGAATACTGTACGCCTCAAAACTATACAACACAACTAGTCACAACATAACTGCCAATGTATTCAGTTTGCTCTGAGACAAAGACTAATAGGTTCATAAACAGACAAAGGTAGATAAGAAACTATGTAAGAAGAAATAGAAGAAACTATGTAAGAAGAAATAGCTGGGGATACAGCTCAGTTGGTAGAGTGCTTGCCTCCCATGCTCAAGGTCCTGGGCTCAATCCCCAGCACCACAAAATAATAAGTAAATAAAGTAAAGTTAACAAATATATATATATGAAATAGCAACAGTGGCTGGGCACTATAATTTCAGGTGGCATTCATCCATAATCTCAGACACTAGGGAGGTTAAGGCAGAAGGATCGAGAGTTTGAGGTCAGCCTTAGCAATTTGGTGAGTCCCTCAGAAATTTATTAAGACCCAGTCTCAGATAAAAAATAAATAAAAAAGGTTAAATACACGGCTCACTGGTAAAGTGCCGTGGGTTCAATTCCCAGTACAAAAAAAAAGAGAAAGAAATAGCAATAGTGCCTAACATTTACTGAACATTTACGTATACACTATATGCTAGACATTTTCTTATCTTAAGTCTCAAACTTTTGAGATGGGTATTATTATCCTTATTCTAAAGATAAGCACTCATTAAGTAACTTGACAAGATCATATCAGCTATTTAGGGTGGAGCTGTGGTGGATGAGGGCAATGATTAAAGACTAAGAATATTTAGTGAAAAAATGAAAACTTCCAGAACAATATTATTTCAAGTTTTATTTAATGAACAGCTATGAAGAAAAGCAAATAGTTTTGTCTTATAAGGACAAAGGGTCAAACCAGGAGCAAACTGTGATAAAGGCACAATACAAAGAAAAACCCTGTCTCAGTCAAAACCAATAAAAGATAGCAGGATAAGCACCCAATCACCAAAGATGTTCCTCCAGATATTTAAAGGAAATTTGAAAACATTAAAAATCTGAAAACTCTTCTATGTCAATAAAACATGCTACTTTCACTTATGCTGTTTACTTAACCAAGTAAGAAAATAACTTAAAAAATTCTACATGCTTTTGCACAGATGCAAATACAATTATAACATTCCCATAAGGTCAACTTTGCATTAAAATGATACATTATCTATTTCTAAAGCTGAATCTCTGAATCTTACACCATGCTTAGGATATTGAGCTTATCTGCGGCAAAGTGTTTACTTTTGTTTCACTGCCTTCAACATGGACATTAGTTTTTATACTGTAGAATTATATTTGGCTAAAATACAAATGCCCTTATAAATATATCTATGCTATTTTCACTACTTCTCAGTATCTAAGTCTGCTTGAGTTTTTATTTATTTCTGTGATTATAAAAACATTTATATATAAAAAAAATACAGGTAAAAATCCTGATATCTGGGCCTGGGGTTGTGGCTCAGTGGTAGAGTGCTTGCCTCATATGTGTGAGGCACTAGGTTCAATTCTCAGCACTGCATAAAAATAAATGAATAAAATAAAGGTCCATCAACTAAAAAAAATTATTTTTAAATCATGATATCTGAGACTATCAAGGAATTAGTAACTTGAAGTTAATTTTATTGTCTAATTTCTAGGAAGTAATATTATATACACAGCAATCAATAAGGCAAGGGAGAAGGAGGAGGGTAGGATAAAGTGAAAGGGAAAAGGACAACGGAAAAAAATTATTTTCAACTGCTTCATATTCTTTTTCAAAGAATCAATTCCCATTTCTATGGTAGAAATAAATGTTAGTATTATAGAGGCAATTGTAATTCTAAAAGACAAATGAAACATTTTTTAAAATCCAAATTAGAAACATACGGCCAAAAAAATTGATAGAATTCTTCAAAAGTCATTAAATCATGTCATTAAATACAAAAAGACAGAAGTCTATCTATATGTATAATGGACAGAGTGAAGTAGCTGCAACAGAAACCACACTTATTTAATTTACAAAGGCTAAAATATTTACTATATGGCCCTTTAAGTAAAGGTTTTTTAACCCTTGTTCTACAACATCTATAAAAGGTATGACAAGGAAATGTTATGCACAATTTTGGATTAGTTTCCACAAGAGGAAAAACAGCTATATAATATTTATGGAAATAAATAAAAAAATTTAAAGAAAGATTGTGCATGAAACCATTTTATTGTACCAACGTTAAATTGCTGAAGTATGATAATGATATTTAAACATACTAAAATGTAAGAGCATTAAGTCTACAAGAGCCAGGGTACAGCTCAGTGGCAGAGCACTTGCCTTGCATATGTGAGGCTTGGGTTCAATTCTTACACACACACATACACACACACACACAGAGGCTGTAGTCATTATTTTTTTCCCTCCCTGTGGTACATGCCAGTAAATGCCATAGATCTACACCCCAGCTCCTCCCCTGCTTTTCAAAAACATTTTAGACAAGTAGCCCAAGCTAGCCTTGAACTTGCAATCCTCATGCCTCAGCCTCCCAAGTAGTCTACAACCTATTTTTATGAGGCTTG